CGTATCCGTCCATCCACCCGTAACGTTTTCTTTGCCTTTATGAGCAGTTTCCTAGTTTATTGTACATGGTTTAATCTAAACTGACTAAATCAAGTAAAGTTTGAGAAACGAAAGAGATTTCATTGCATCAAACAGCAAGAAACTTCCAAAGACTTTAAAAAAACAACAATCCCAAACCCCTCAGTTCACAGAAAAGTGGTTTTTAAATCACCCTTTCATCCATCCATTTTACATTTTTGGTGCTTTTAAGCAAAATCTAAAAATTTCACAAGATCACTGTGCCTCCCAAGCCCGACCCCCACACGAGACACCACCTGGGAAAATAAATGAGAATTAAAAGTGGCCTTTGTTTACATTCCCAGGCAGCACAGGGGTTCCTTCCGTGAAGTGAACTGGCTGGGCCCTCCCTGGCCGGCGTCTCGGGGTCACCTCTCTGAGGGCGACAGGGCCCTGGACACCGTGGCCCCCGTGCAGCCGAGCGGGACCCGGGCGCCCTACCTTTGAAGAAGACGAAGTTCCCCTCGTTGTTTTCGTACACGGCGTCGATCCCCGGAGGCAGGCCGCGCCAGAAGTAAGTGATCTGCATGGGGTACCCATCCATGACCCTGCTGTTCCTCACGCGCCAGAACCACTGGTCCTGCAAGCCAAGCACAGACCGCTCAGCGCCACACGCACCTGGCAGCCCCGCCCGGCCAGCGCCCGAGGCCTCGCCCGTGCCCCAGAGCGACGCTCAAAAATCAGCGAACACGGGCCCCACGCGATCCCAGAGGATTTCACCGTAAACCTCCCAACCGCCGACGCGTACACTGTGGTTAGAAAGATCATGTGAAACACTCAATCCCGGCACCGACACTGTACCCGGGTGGAAAAAGGGGGCACGGACCAGGCCTGGCCAGGCCTGAGGACTGGACGAGTCGGCTTCAGAGCCTGAGGGCAGCTGGGGCCGGTGAGCACCCTGCCTGTGTGCCCCGCCCACGGGTCGGGGATGCCTCCTGGTCCCCCGTCTTACATGCTTCGTCCCTAGCATGATAGTGGAGTCCTCCGTCACCCTCCGCGTCCTGCCTGGGACGAGGAATTGTAGGGTCTCCCCAAACGAGAAAAGCGATCTTGACAAAATCACCAGAGCAGGTTCCGACCTGAGTCAGCTGCCTGTCTACCGGCTCCCAGGCGCCC